CGCCCAGCTCGCGCTCCAGCCCGCTGCACGCCTCCGGGAGCAGGCTCTGCTGGTCGCTGCCTGACCTACACTCCGCCGGGCCCCGCACCCACCGCGTGCCGGCGGCCCGGAAGCCTTAACGTTCAGCGTGGAATTGCCTTCTCACGCCCTCTGCTTTACCTTGGGATTCTCCACAATTGTCTCTTGTAAATGAATGACTTTTTTTAAAGGGCATTAGAATCTAATGATGAGGTCATTACCCATTGATCATACACCAGCAGGGGGCTCTTTGGCGCACATGCAAACGCACCCTTGCAGTAAAGTCTCTGCTGAGAAATGCTGCCCGGGAGCGCTTGTGAGTAGGCAAGCGCCGGAACCACCCCAGGACAAAGGCAGTACTAATACCTGCCCACGTACTTACGAGCTACATGAACCGGGCATTAATAATTATTTCTCTTTTTTCTAGGCCAGTGAACCTTGAGAACACATTTACAAAAAATTAGGACCTGTTTTGTTTTTGTTTTTGTTTTTTTTGATATATATAGCAAGGATTAAATGTTACCACTTTGATCTGGTTTCGTTCCTGAAGTGAAGTAATCACTAAATAACTACTTTGACAGAATAAATTAATTTTTAAATCTATTTTTTATTTTCTAATTATACTTTTTAAATACAGATTTGAGGAAATTAACATTTATGTGGACATTTGGTTTCTAGCCTAATGTGGCATAAAAATAAGTAACATAATGAGTGTTAAAAAAAATCAGGTTCATGATGCTTCTCACATCATCATCATTGTACTTAGATGTCACAACAGTATTATGTGCGATTGTGTCAGATCCAGCCTTCTCCATCTCGGAGTGTTGGCAGGTAGGAGGGCTGTTGGCAAGAGGAGGGGTGTTAACCTCAGGATCCTGGACCCATTCCAAGGCTGGTAATTACATTCTGCCAGCCAAAATTCATCCCATAATTTTAATTGGATAAATCCTTTCTGGCCTAAGCTACTGCTATGCCTGTCAAACTGTTGCCACATTTCACCCCAGAGGTGTCTGTGTTTTAGTTGCAAGAATGAGTCCCTTTGAGGTTGGCTTATCAATTTAAATCCTCAAAGTGCTTTGGGATCCTATGGAATTAAATATATATTTAGGTATTTTTTTTCTACTGAATCTGCAACAGACATGCATAAGATAGACATATACCCATGTTAATGCCCAAAAACCAATACCCATCTAATGTCAACAGATAATTTCAAAATACTTTAACTAGATTGATGTCCCTAACATTCTCTTTTCTTCTTTTGAGAGCTTTTATTGCCCATAGCATTAGCTTCCAATTAACGGTGGTGTAACCAACCTTTCCTTCCAAGGAGAACAACGGAACTAAAGGCCCTGTATCTCACCTTTCCAAACAATTCTGTGGTGAGACTACTTGCTACAATGGAAGATAAAGTAACATTACATCTAGGCTTATCTGTCCCTTCAGAGAAAACAGTGTGACACCTAGGGGCTTCATGGGTCTAGCTGTAACAGCTGCCAGACCTAAACCTTCTTCCCCACATTTCCTAATCCTCTCGATGAGAATATCTTTCCCCTGACAGGACTGCTGGGGCATTAAGTAAGATAACATTTCTGAAAGCATCAACACCCAGCAGTTACTCAGTAAACCTTAATCCCTTTCTCCACTAGACTGAGGTCAGACACAGGAGAGAAGGCAGGGTCCCAAGTTCTTTGTGGAAAAGGGCAGGGTCTGCCTCTGCTTGAGGACTGTAAACACAGAAAAGACAAAGAGAAAGATGCCAGCAAGTCTGGTGAAAAGTTCGGCAGTAAGACTGAAAGTCTTATTTTGTTCTCTTCAAGGATAGAAAAGTACCCTTGGTGTTCGTTTAGCTCAACCACATGTAATCCTGCCTTTTTCATTGTTTGAAAGAGCTTTATGTCACAGGTACTATGTATGGGCATCAAACCTCTCATTATTTAACTTAGCATGCTTGGAGGAGTTTGGGGGTGAATACTTTTTGGGTGAATGTGTTATTCTGATTCCTTGTTTCTCCTACTAAGTCCACGTTCAGAGCATTTGTTCCTTTGCTCATATGGTTTCTGTCCAAAAACAAATAAGCACTGGAAAAGAGCATAGCTAAAAGTTCCAGTTTCAGTTCTGTGATACCTGTTTCCTAATACTCCCACCGGGCCCTTGTAAGACAAAATAATTTTCTGTACCCTTCATTTTTACAAACAAGGAGAGGGTAGTTCTTGTAGAAGCTGTCCATGGCCCGTGAGGGCTCAGGTAGGTAAGA